CTGGAGGGGGGGTGGGGCTGGCCGTGAGCTGTGCAGGAGGCCCGAGGTCCAGCTGCGCAGGAGGCCCGAGGTCCAGCTGCGCAGGAGGCCCGGGGTCCAGCTGTGCAGGAGGCCCGGGGTCCAGCTGTGCAGCAGGCCTGGGGTCCAGTCGTGGGGGCTGTGCGGGTGAGCTGTGCAGGAGGCCCGAGGTCCAGCTGCGCAGGAGGCCCGGGGTCCAGCTGTGCAGGAGGCCCGGGGTCCAGCTGTGCAGCAGGCCTGGGGTCCAGTCGTGGGGGCTGTGCGGGCAGCTGCCCTATAGGGCAGGCAAAAGTGGTGAGGAGGGGACTGGACCTGCTTTGGAAGTGTGGGACAGGAAGCTGGTCACTCTTGGGGACAGAGGCGATGTCTGGGAGAGGACCTCACAGAGCAGGTGTCATTTAACTGGGCCCCCTCAGGAACGCGTAGGGCTGGGCTTCCGAGCGCCTCTCAGTGCCCCGGAACTGTCACCGGCTAAACCTCGCATGTACGAGCGTCCTTATCTTTCTTTTGTGGGGAAGAACCCACAGCTGCCTTCAGAGCTTGGGGAGATCTGTGACCCCAGAAGATTCAGAAATAAATGACGCATTTTACTTGTGACTGCCCTGTCTGTGGAAGGAGATGCCACTTAGAACCTCGAGAAGGGCCCTGTGCTCAGTGCCGAGGTGGGACTGCCCTTGGGGGGCGGGGGTGGGGAGCAGCTGCCGGTGCCACACGTCTGTGAACCTTGGCGTCTGTCAGGTGTGACGTGCAGCGAACAGGATGCAGGGATGGTGTCGTGTGTGCGTGTGTTTTGGGAGACTGGGGGTCTGGGAACACCCCATGCATTTTCACTGGAGCAGATGTGCCGTGTGTCCTCTGCACTGTGGGGTCCCTCCGACAGCCGTGGACAGCAGGCAGGGGCGGGCAGCCTCAGAGCTGGCGAGTGGGCTTCGTGCCTGGGCGGAAGCCGTTCATTCGTGCACTGGCGCGGGTGTGCAAGCGTGAAGGCCACAACCCTGCGCTCTGGACGGGGAGCCAGGGCACCTCTCACTGCCCCAGCGGACCACCCTCTGCCGTCCTGGTTCGGTAACACCATGTCTTTTGGAGCCGGGCAGAGTGAACTGCGAGTTTCCCTAACCCAGGCGTCCCGAGTCCCGGTCCGATGCCCCATGCATGGCAGTGTGCAGCCGAAGTCGTTACCAACAACAGCCCCACCTTGCCAGGAGCTCGTCTCCGGATCAGGAACAGGCCCCTGTGCAGCCCCCGGCCAGGCACAGAAGCACGCAGGCGTGTTTATAGTACTCGTGTGTCCTGTGGCCTGGTGCAGACTGTTGTGTGGAAGAGTCTCTGAGTGCACCCCCGTCAGCCAAGTCAAGTGATTGAAATTCCTGCAACTTCCCTCCTGGCAGCTCACGTCCAGGTGCTGCCCACCGTGCTGCAGGCTGCCCAGCTGGCTCTGCAAGTGAGCCCGAGGCCTTGCCGGTGGCCGGTCCCCTCCCAGCTCTGAGGGTCAGAGCGCCCCGTCAGCCTCCTCGGCTCGGAGCGGGCTCTGTGTGGCCCGGATATCACTGAGCACGGCGAGTGTCTGGCCTGCCTGTCACACAGCCGTGCCTTCTTTTACTAATACCCCAGCAGAGATGGTAAATGGCAACTTTCATTCTGTTCTTAAGGTCATGTTTTGGATAACTAGACATCTGATCAATCCAATGATTGATAACATTGATTCTTTTCTACAAAAATAGGGTGGGGACCCAAAAGTACCTGCCCTCTTCTCTGAAGATGACGAGGACCGGCCCTCTGAGCCGGGAGGGGTCTAACCCAGAAATGCTCCATTTCAGTTCTGCGCGTCAGTGACCGTGGAGGGCCAGCACATGGGATTCTGGAGTTTAAGCTGATGACAGCTCTAGCAAATGGCCATGGCTTTGGGCCTCCTGTTATGGGAGTGCTTTGCCCTGGGCTGCTCTGCCGTGTTTTGGAGGAGAGTTTTCGAAAATCCAGCCTTGACCCCTCCACCCACAGCTGGAACCCACTCTGAGAGGGGCGAGCGGGGCCCATCACTGGTTCCCTATTTTCAGTCTCTTCATAAGTTGTCAACTTTCTTGCAGCTAGAGGCTCCAGGGCCTCCCTAATTCCTTCTCTGCTTCCCCAGGGGCCACGCCACACCAGAGTCCCACAGGTAAGGGTGAGGGGGCCTG